TCGCCGGAGCCCAGCAGGTTGAGGCTGTGGTGGCCAGGAGTGGCCACTGCACTCCAGTCTGGGCGAGAGTGAGACTCCAACTCAAAAAAACAAAACAAAAAAAACCAAAAAAAATCACCTTAATATTGTAGATTTTTTCTGAACTTCTTTGATCTTGTATTTATCCCTTACACTGAAAGTCCTTGTACATAACATTAACATACTTGTTATCCTACCATATACAGTTCACAGTTTCAAAAACATAGCAACAGTATTATCATTAATTATATAAAACTAAGTGAAACTGAAGATTCTGTTGCAGTTTTTTAATCCTTAAGATATATAGTTGACCCTTGAATAACACCGGTTTGAACTGTGTGGGTCCACTTACATGTGGATTTGTTTTGTCCAAACATAGATGAAAAAAACAGCGGAAGGCAAAACCTGCTTCTACAAAAGGGCCAGCTTTTCCTGTCTACAGATTTCACAGGGCCAGCTACAGGACTTGAGCAGGGACTGGATATATGTCAGAAGTATTCTGAACCAAACTTCTGTGAATGTGGTCTGACAATTAATTTCACGAACTCATCCTAGAAAAGGTGCTACATATCTCACTGCTGAATATCATTACAGTCACCTTTGAAGTACTCTCCTTGGAAGCTATGCACTGATGCCGGTGCCTAGCCCACCCATCAGAGCAATTTTGGAACTCTTTTTCAGGAATGGCCATCATAGCTGTCATCATATTACCCTTGACGTCTTGAATGCCATCAAAGTATCTTCCTTTCAATATCTCCTTTATCTTTGGGTAAAGAAAAAAGCTAATTAGGGACCAAACCAGGTGAACAGGAAGAATATTCCAATAGTTATTTGTTTACTGATTAAAACTTCCTCAGACAGTGCTGTGAGCCGGCGCATTGTTGTGATGCAAGAGCTCCTTTGGGACTATTTTTGCACACACCTTTCTCATGCCAATATTTTCAGTTAAGATTTTCCTGTTTCTCTAGCGATGTCTGCTATGCTTCTCACAGTTGGTCGACAATTCTGACACACAATTCAATGAATTTTTGCAATGTTTTCATCAGTTCTGCTCACTACTGGCTGTCCTAACCTCTCTTCATTAGTGACAATTTCTCTCCCCTCAGAAAAACATTTAATCCGTTTGTACACTGCCATTTTCTTCATGACATTATCCCCATAAACTTGAATTAACATGTTCCTGATTTCACTCCCACTCTTGCCAAGTTTAACAAGAAATATAATAGTTTGTTGCTCTAATTCAAGCTCCAACATTCTCGTGATGGCACACAAAAACATGCAACAATGATGAATGCCACTCAGCAAGGCACTGCCACATGTCAACACGAACACAGCCGTGAGACACTGATATACCAAGGTTATGAAAACCTATTGAGTTATTTGTACAGTGCTGCCAATGACAGCCACAGGGGCAAGTTCACAAATTTAATTGTCAGACTGCATAAACTGAGGAATGACTGTACTATCCCACCATAGATATACTATTAGGGTACTGTGCTCAAAAGTCCAGGGGCATAATTCTTTTCTCTGTGTATCTTAGTTATGTTACCAATTTGACTTAGAGTTAAGTTCATTTGCTTCAGTTTACGTTCAACTTTAAGGTTTACTTTGTTTTCCTTTTCGTGTATCCTTTGGCTATGTAAAACTAAAAGTTCAATGTCAGAGAAGTAAGGCTTCTATCTCCATCCCCTCCACCCTTTCCGCCATCCCTTTCAGGTAACTATTTTAATTTTTTTTTTTTTTTTGAGTTGGAGTCTCACTCGGTCGCCCAGACGAGTGCAGTGGCCGCTCCCGGCCACCGCAACCTCGACCTGCTGGGCTCCGGTGATCCTTCTGCCTCAGCCTTCCCAGTAGCCGGAATTACAGGCATGCGCTACCACACCCAGCTGATTTTTTGCTTTATTGTAGAGATGAGGTCTCGCTGCCCAGGCGGGTCTCGAACCCGCAGGCTCAGGCAATCCACTCACCTCAGCCTTCCAAAGGCGCAGGATTACAGGCTGAGCCACCGAGCCCGGCTTCAGGTAACTATTTTAAATTTCTAAGATATCCTTCTACTTTCCCCCAAACACACACACACACACACACACACACACTTTACATGTATTTCTGCACATTACTTTATTCACTTAATATAACCTAGAGCTCATTCCAAAGCAGCATGTAGCTTTGTTCTCAATCTTTTTTTTTAATGGCTGCATTGTATTCCATTGCATGGATGTACCATTCACAACCAGTTCCCTTTTAATGGATACTTAGGTTATTCCCAAACTTTTGCTATGACAAAGAGCTAAGCTTAAATATATACTGTTTCCGTTTATGGAGGTGTACCTGCAGAATGAGGTCAGGGTTAGAATGATAAATGCATGTGCAATTTTGGTACTCCATAGATCTGGAATCATTTTCCCGCTCCCACCAGGAAAACATAATTTCAAATTGCATTTCCACTATAAGTGAGGTTCAACATCGGTTTATGTTTAAGGACTATTACTCTTCTACCCCCTCCGAATCATCTGTGCACGTCCTTCCCCATTTTCTCCTTCGGATTTTGGTCTTTTTCTTTTCGGTTTTAGAGAATTCATGTAATACGAGTTGCAAATAGTTTCTCCAGACTGATCTGATTTACTGGAAATATACTGCACCATGACTCCTTTGACCCTCTGGAGGGTACCTTAATCTTATCCTTATAAATCACCTTACTCCAGGACACTTCTTTGGGGGATAAACAGTTTTGGTAAAGCCGACTTAAGGGCAGAGCAATCAAAAGAATTACTTGACTCTTCTAGGAAGTGTTAAGAGGCTGTTTTATGTTTACCAGGTGACACTACCGTTAAGGGTTCAGACGGCACAGACTCGTACTTAAGGGAGTGTATTCTCTAATCCTCCCAGGGGTCGCCGTCCCCTCGCTTTGCGAGCCGCTGACACGGGCACAGCCTCCAATTGCTAGAGAACAATAGCTCCTCGGATTCACCTCCAGAGAAGTCCAGGCGGAACGAGCCAAGCGGCTAGAATACTGCGCTTCACGACAGAAGAAAGGGCCTCGGCTAACAAGTTTTCAAAACTCACAAGTTGAGGCTCAGCTCAGCATAAAACTCACACCGCTCTCCACCTCACTTCCGAGCTGCACCTAGTCGACCGGCGTGCGGAAGCGCCGAGGATGGGCGCAGTAACCACCGAGCAGCCAATCAAGCACCGCCTTCGCCCAGATCCCTCCGCCCGAGGCCGCGCCTCAGGCGCAGGTGGCCCCGGCGAGCGCGTCCACCCGGCAGCCGCCTTCCCGTGATTCCCCGCGGCTGACCTCCAACCTCGCCCGCCCTCCCCTCGCTTCGGCTGCTTCCTTTCCCGCCCCCACGGAGCCTGCTGAGCCCCGGCGGCCCCGGGGCGCGCGCCACACTCCCGGGAAGGGCCGGGGCGTGCCACGGGGAGCAGCTGCTCTGTTACGCCTTGAGGTCCGGATCGGGATAGGCCGGCGGCCGCCTTCCCTGCACCATTCCTTTCCCAGCGGGGCCCGGCGGCGGGCGAGCGACGGCGGCCGCGCCCGGGAGGCGATTCCTCGGTGAGTAGGCCGGAGCGCGAACATGGCGGAGCGGGGAAACTGGCGGGAG